TTCTTCTAATAAAGTGGAAACATCTATGAAAAAAGTGGGTGAAACTAAAAGACCCTAGAAATGTCCATGCATTCAAAATTTTTGTGATAAAGTATCTAGATAAAAATGAGTAAGACAAAACAAAAGCTTATCTATACACATACTTCCATCTCTTCAGCATACTATTTTTATGCTGAGTCTAAAAAATAATTGTGCAAGAACTTCTGTCTTAAAGTATATTAGTAAAGAGATCTAAATATTTGTGTGAATATATAAATTAATTTCTTTTACAATCTACAAGTACATATGATACATAATACTTTATAATACAGTCATGCATAGCTTAACAACAAGTATATGTTCTGAGAAATGCATTCTTAGGCAATTTCATCATTGTGCAAACATCACGGTGTGTACTTACCCAAACCTAGATGGTATAGCCTACTACACATACAGCCTCTTACTCCTAGGCTACAAACCTGTACAGCATGTAGGTATACTGAAAACTGTAGGCAATTGCAACAAAATGGTAAGCATTCGTGTATCTAAACATATCTCAACAGAGAAAAGGTAAAGTAAAATTATGGTATAGAAAATTTAAAATGATACACTTGTATAAGGCACTTATGAATGGAGCTTGCAGGCATGGAAATTGCTCTGGGTGAATCAATGAGTGAGTGGTAAGTGAATATGGAGGCCTAGGACATGTATAATACTGTAGACTTTATAATACTGTATACATAGGCTACACTAATACATGTCAGCTTACTGCAACTTGTTTACTTTATAAACTAAATTTTTAAAACCTTTTTGACTATTTATTTATTTTTTGAGACTGGGTCACACTCTGTCACCCAGGCTGGAGTACAGGCCTCTCAAAGTGCTGGGATTACAAGTGTGAGCCACTGTGCCTGGCCTTTTTGAATCTTTTATAATAACACTTAGCTTAAAACACAAATACATCACAGTGGTAAAAAATAATTTCTTTCTTTGTAGCCTTATTCCATAAACCTTTTTCTATCTTTAATTTTTTTAAATTTTAAACTATTTTGTTAAAAACTAAGACCTAGATACACACATTAGCCTAGACCTACACAGTTGTGTTCATCAATGGCACTGTCATCCACCTCCACATCTTGTCCCACTGGAAGGTGTTCAGGGTCAATAACATGCTATGGAGCTGTCAACTCTATGATACAATGCTGTCTTCTGGAATATCTCTTTAAGGACCTTCCCAAGGCTGTTTTACAGTTTAAGTTTTTTCGTATATATGTAAAGGGAATATACTCTAAAATGATGATAAAAAAGTAGAGTATATATATAAAGCAGTAACAGTCATTTATCATTATCAAGTACATGTACTGTACATAATTGTATGTGCTATACTTTTATACAATTTGCAGCACAATGGGTTTATTTACACCAGCATCACTACAAACATGTTAGTAACACACTGTTCTACATTATGATGGCTATGCTGTTACTAGGTGACAGGCATTTTTGAGTCCCATTATAATTTTATGAAACCGTTATATATGTGGTCTATTGTTGACCAAAACACTGTTATGTGGTGCATGACTATACATAAAGTCATATGTGAATTCAGTATTTCAGCTTTAATATGTAAACAGTCATATGATGGTAGCACCCAAGAACTTGAGGGGAATGGTAAAAGACCCTTTGCGCCGAGAAGCCAGGGCTGAGATGGATATTCTTCTGTGTTCTACTCTTGTCAGGACCATTAGGACTGTTGCCTTTAGGCCTGAATGGTACACATCCAGAAGATTCTGACAAGTGAGTGTGCCTCTAGACAAGGCCCAAGTGTCTAGAGATTGCAGCAGACCAGGAATGGGGCAAGGCTAGTGAAGACAAGGCCACATGGGAAGCATACTGTCTTGTGGGTACATGCCACATATGATGATCTTCCTGCTTTAGAAGAAGGTAAGAATGAAGCTTCTCTTACTATCAGCTTAGCATAAAGGTTGACATTCTTAGAGACAATGGAGGAAATTAATACAGAAGAAAACCAGAAACTAAACCCAGAATATAAAAACAATTCCAGACTCTTGTCAAGGGAGAAGCCTGCCCCACTGGAGGATCATAAAACAAAGAGAATCTGCTATACAATTGAGGGTCATAAGCCTGCTATTTTCATTTACTCTAGACAAAGAAGTACCTCTTAGTAAAAATCTCTGCTATTGAGAGTTACCTGGATGACAGTATGTGGCACTTTAAGGGTCAGAATGCTTGGTTGTCTTTCCTGACGTGCACGTCACATATGGTGCCGTCGACCAGGCCTGGTCTCTACTGCCCATACCTGCTGATTTACTTCATTATCTGTCCTGAGAGGAGCACAGTTTTTGAGCTTATGAGTAAGCCAAGATCTGACCAATTAAACATCTAAATAGATGTATATTAATTATCCAAAAGGCCTATAAGACTTCCCCAGATTTTGTCAGGTGGAATAAATTATCCTCTCCTTTATATTTCCCCCAAAAGTCATTCCAAATTTGAAATTGAACCCACCTAGGGGTTTGTTTGGAAATGGTAGATTTCTTTTTTTAGCTAGGACTGAAGAAGACAATCAGCTTAGAATGGGTAGGAGCCAGGAATGCTAAATGTTTGTAATATATAGTCATACACACAATAAACCATTTTCTTGCCCAAATGTCAAGGAAGTTACTATTAAGAAACATAACATGTAACACTTTGTTCATAGCATTTGAACAAAAACTATTGTATATTTTTTAAAATTTTACTTTAAGTTCTGGGATACATTAATACATATACCTATGGGTTTATTACATAGGTATACATGTGCCATGTTGGTTTGCTGCACCTATAAAACCATCATCTAGGTTTTAAGCCCTGTATGCATTAGGTATTCATCCCAATGTTCTCCCTCCCCTTGCCCCCCATCCCACAACAGGCCCTGGTGTGTAATGTTCCCCTCTCTGTGTTCATGTGTTCCCATTGTTCAACTCCCAATTATGAATAAAAACATGCAGTATTTGGTTTTCTGTTTCTGTGTTAGTTTGTTGAGAGTGATGGTTTCCAGCATCATCCACATCCCTGTGAAGAACATGAACTCATTCTTTTTTATGGCTGCATAGTATTCCATGGTATATATGTGCCACATTTTCTTTATCTAGTCTATCATTGATGGGCACTTGGGTTGGTTCCAAGTCTTTGCTATTGTAAATAGTGCTGCAGTAAACATACATGTGCATGTGTCTGTATAGTAGATTGATTTGTAATCCTTTGGGTATATAGTCAGTAATGAGATTGATGGGTCAACTGGTATTTCTAGTTGGAACATTTATTTGATTATTGTGAACTTCTTAAAAGAAAAGTACATGACACTTACAACTTCATTTCCTTAGTTCATAGCCTAGTGCTAGGAATATGAAAGATATTACATGAATATTTACTGAATTAGAGTTAATATTTAACAAATAAATATTGTTGAGTGCCCGCTCTGTACCAGACAATGTGCTTTGAGCTGAAGATAATTAGGTCAGCCTCCCACATCACTATTTTCCCCACCCACCAAAGTTTCTACAACTGTACTTCGAACTCCCAATGGCCTGTGAACTCTGATCTTCTTTATGTCTCAGTTTAAATGTCATTTCTGCAAGTGAAACTTTCCTTGATCCTCACAAAAGATGTCATGAAGAATTAGGGCTGAGCAGAAAGCCAGAGGCTGGGGCTTTTGACAGTGTGGCAGGGTAGGCACACAGAGACTGGGGGTAAAGATGTCAAGGCAGCTAAGACTTGACAGACCAAGATTCTGCAGAGGAAGAAACTGTAGAGAAGTGAGTCTGAAATGTGATGTGCAACTTTCCATTAAGAAATTTGACTACTTCTAAGCTGCACATGAGCTGGCAGAGTAACAAAATGCTAAACAGAAAGAGTCTGTGGGAGGCTGAAGATCTGAGCAGACTTCAACCTTTTGAAATACTGATATGATGGAGTTAATAAAAATACCATTTAAGATGGAGGGGACTGAGAATACTTCAAGCTTTTATTTGAGACTCCTAAAGAGCTACAGCTTACCTGGAAATAAGACCAAGCTAGTAGTATATCATCCCCAAGAAAGTGCAATGCCCAGCCCACACTGGAAATAACACTCCATTCTCTTAGGATACAAGTCTAGGAGTTAAAATGCACACAGTGACATAAGTTATTTCCCTATGTGAATGACCTCTGTGGGCATGACATTTCAATTTTCTCAAAGAGATAATCCAAAGCTGGTTTTTCCTGCTGGAAGAAAATTAAATACATTTTGGAAGAAGATACTCTCACTAGAGCTTCTGAAATGTTCATCTATGTTGCCTACCATTCAATTAAAAAATCTATGCCAAAAATGGGCCAAATAAACAAAATTTAGACACTGTAAAATTTTTTTAAGAAAAATAGAAGAATGATATGAAGAATCACAACAGAAAGCTACATATAGAACAAAGAGAGAAGGGAGAAAAAATATCAAAAGAATCAAGTTGAAATATTAGAAATGAAAAATAAAGAATTCACTAGATAGGCTTAATTTTAGATTGAAATAGCAAGAGATATATAGGAAATTGTGAAAACATCCATCATATATGCAATTGATGTCCAAGAAAACAGGATAAGGACAATGGGGTAGAAGAAATAGTCACTGATAAACCTCCAAACAGATGGAAAACCGTGAGTGACAAATTAAAGAAACTTCAAATTCCAAACATAGTAAGTGCAAAAGCAGCCACACTAATGCAAATCATAAAAAGACTACACAAAATCAAAAACAAAAGAAACTGTTAAAAGCTTCCAGGGCGAGATAAAAGGCATATTCCCCCTTAAAAAAGGGAGAAGAAAAGAAAAAGATACTTGACTTTTCAAAAGACATGATGATGAAACTGTGCAAGAGTTTTGAGAAAGAAGTAAGAAATACTATTGGTTTACATGGGAAGGTAGGTGATGCTACTGTTAACACTGCCTATAGCCTCAGATATAAATGGAAAGGAAATAGCTGCCTCATAGAATCATTTTTAAAGCTTTATTGAATTGTAATTGATATACACATGACTTAAATATACAGTTTGATGACTTTTGACAGATACAAATACCTGTATAACCTGCCCCCAATCATAATACAATGATTTCATCACCCCTAAGAAGTTACCTCTTGCACCCTTTCTTCAATCTCCTCTGATACAATGCTACAGGTATTTCACAGAAAGTCTGTGACCTCATAAGTTACAATCCATTTCAGAAGAGGAACATTTTCCTGAAATTTATGAACCTTTTAACAACACAACAGGTCAAGATCATTTTAAATTTCTCACAGTTGAAGTTCCTGCCTTTTAACTAGCAATCTATAATCTGTAGTAAATGGGACCTTAAAAAATCTTTCAAAAGAAATTTGATTGTTTCTAACAGGGTTACTATCATCATCATTGATCCTTATTTATTGACTCACTTTGGGCAAAATACTTTTGATCATTCCTGATATTTTTCCCCCTCTTCCAGAGGGTGTATTAGGGTTCTCTAGAAGGAGGGAACGAATAGAATATATGTATATGTTAAAGGAGTTCATTAAGAAGAATTGATTCACATGATCACAACGTAAAATCCTACAATAGGCCATCTGCAAGTTGAGGAGCGATGAAACCAGTGGTGGATCTCTGTATCCCAAACCCTCAAAACTAGGGAAGCTGACAGTACAGCTTACAGTCTGGGGCCAAAGGCCCAAGAGCCCCTGACAAACCACTGGTGTAAGTCAGAGTCCAAAAGCTGAAGAACTTGGAGTCTGATGTTTGAGGGCAGGAAGCATCCAGCACGGAAGAAAGATGAAGACCAGAAGACTCAGCAAGTCTGCTCTTCCATGTTCTCCTGCCTGTTTTAGTCTAGCTGTGCTGACAGCTAATTAGATGGTGCCCACCAGATTGAGAGTGGGTCTGCCTCTCCCAGTCCACTGACTCAAATCTTAATCTTTTTTGGCAACACCCACACAGACACACCCAGAAACAATACTTTGCCTCCTTCAATCCCATAAAGTTGACACTCAATATTAGCCATCACAGAGGGGCATCCCCTAGTGTAACACACCTGGCATCTTTCTAAGCTTTCACTCCCTCCTCTCCTGGAAGGAGTAAGTTAGCTGATAGTGACTGTTTAGGGTAAAACTAGATATGCAATTGTATTCATTTTCTAGAGCTACCATAACAAAGCATCAATTTATTCTCATAGTTCTGGAGGCTAGAAGTCCAAGATCAAGGTGTCAACAGGGTTGGCTCTCGTGAGAGCTGTGAGGGAGAATCTGTTCTAGGCCCTTCCCCTCACCTCTCGTGTTTTTCTATTGGTCTTTGGTGTTCCTTATCTGGGTAAAGCATCACCCAGATCTCTGTCTTTATCTTCACATGGAGTCCTTTCAATGTGTTGCCTTAGCCCCAAATTTCGCTTTCAACAAGCACATCAGTCATGTTGGTTTAGGGGCCTACCCTACTCCAGTATGGATTCATCTTAACAAACTGTATCTACACCAAACCTATTCCAAAATAAAGTAATATTCTGACGTACAGGTGATTAAAACTCAATATATGCATTTGAGAGGAACACAGTTCACTTGCAAACAGCATCCCAGCCCTTCTTCCTTCTTTCTGTTGGCAGCAAGCCTTCACTCAATGTTCTTGACTGCTCTTGGACATACTGTAAGCTCTTGGGTAAAGGTTGACTCTTATTGTGAAGACCTGAGTGTCTGCCCAGAGACAATATTTTCAGTGACAGAAAGAAAGAGTGTCAAATTCTGGGATTCAGAACACAAAAACATATGTGTCCATGAACATAAACCACATATCAACTCTTCTATTTCTACAGGCAATATTTCGCTCTCACATACATCTTCTCTTTTTTTCATTCTTCAGTTGATGGATTTAACTGAAGTGCATCTGGCACTGTTACAGTCCTTTTGGGAGAGGATTTATATTTAAACCCAAAAGGACCATAACAGTGCCAGATACAGCCATACCCTCTACATCTGGGTGACTGAATTAATTGAACCCCTTAGAGTTGGAGAACAAAGGACAAATTTCTGCATGAACTTATCATAATCAATTGAGAAACAATTAAGCCTCTAGACAAAAGAGACTTAGATGAGGGTCAATTAATATGTGATATATCTTTCTTTTAAGAGGAGGAAAAGGAGGGAGGGAGGCTGACCATTTAGATAGGTACACAGTGAGGACCACACCAAGTCTTTTGGAGTACTAGCCCTCACAAAGAGGTGGCATTTATGAGGTGACTATATTGAGAAAAGAAACAGAGGAGAAGAAACAGTTTTGAGAGAAATACGATAAATCGGGTCACAGCATGCTGAGTCTGAGGGTCCTAGGAAAGAAAGCCAATGAAATCTATCTGTCCTCCAAGGAAGGTTGCATTTAGAGATAGGGATACTGTTAACCACACAGGGGAAACTGACCCCATGGAACAAAATGAGGTCACACTTGGGGATCCTGGGGAATGGGGGTAAGAACAGAGATCTGAGGATGTACCCTGGTGAAGAGTGAAGTGCAGAGGGTGAGATGAAAAGAAGGGCTGCCAAAAACAGTCCGTGAAAACCTTCAACCACCAGAGTTCAGTGTTCTCACCATGATGCTAAGATGGTTCTTTCTTAGACTGAAATCACACCTTTGAGTCACCTCTCTTTGCAAAGGGCCATATCTGTGTAAACTTTATCCTTGTGATTATTGCACTGGGGGGATTATAGGTCCATAATTGATATAAGAAGAGGTATAAACAGGGAAACAGGATCAGAGAAATTGCACATTATAGCTTCCAGACAGAAGAAGAGATTTCCTTGATCTGGCCAGTGAAGAATCCAGGAATGGGAGGTCAGATTGTAAAATGGTTCCTCCCTACTGTCTTGGGGTCTGTATGACATTATTACTATGCTAACAATGCAAATATATCAACTAAAATGTTAATCAGAAATTGTGGAAGAAGCACTGGAGGCAGGGAATCAATTTAGAAACAGTTGCCATAATTGGTCACTAAAAAGGGCAGTGGAAGAAACAGTGATGATGCACACCTTTTTGAGAGACACTATAAAAATGTGTGGCAGATATATTTTTTGCCTGGATCATAATTTCATGTCTCCTATCTATAAGCTATTGGTCAAAGAAAGTCTCATTATCTAAAGAAATGTCTGCTTTCAAAGTCCAATTCTAGTGCTCATCTGCTAAGACTTCATTTATAAAAAGAGTTAGCTAGGATTTGTTCAGAGTTTATTCTATGTTATGTGGGTTGTATCTCTTAATGGTCAAATACAGGAATCACAATTTTTGCTCTGGCTTAAATAAAAGAAAAATAAATAGAAGCTTTTCTGAGATGCTCACATTGCCATTTTCAGAAGTTTAAGCATTTATGGAGCAGAGCAGAGTAGTACCTGGAACTGCCTGACTTGTCAACATTGATTACATATCTATTGGAAATTCCTTTCCCAGATGTTTTATAAGATGGGATTTAGAAAAAGCTGATCTTTGATTGAAATACGTCTCTTTGTGTCTTTATTCAGTTAGAACTCTGTAATTGGCAAATGGGGGACTTTTATTAGAAACTGTTTTCTGAGGTATTCTTACCTTGAAAAATCCATGTTTAATTTGATTCCAGGCTGGGTGCAGTTGCTCATGCCTGTAATCCTAGCACTTTGGGAGGCCAAGGCAGGCAGATTGCTCAAGCTCAGGAGTTCAAGACCAACATGGTGAAACCCCATCTCTACTAAAAATACAAAAACTGGCTGGGTGTGGTGGTGCACACCTGTAATCCCAGCTACTCAGGAGGCTGAGGCCGGAGAAGCACTTGAACCCAGGAGGAGGAGGTTATAGTGAACTGAGATGAGATCATGCCACTGCACTCCAGCCTGGGCAACAGAACAAGACTCAGTCTCAAAAAAAAAAAAAAAAATTCACTCTAGCAATGTCCACATAAATTAGACACTTAACTCTGTTAATGGAAGGAAGCATTGGCTTTCTACATTTATGTAAGTTATTCACTATATAAGTGATACAGTTAATGATAAATAAAATATTAAGCACAAATATCTCCCAAATCATTGGTTTTGTTATTTCTGGATTATACCTGATTTAATTCAGGAAAACCAATGTGTTTTTGCCAACAGTTTTCTCATGGCCTCTTTCACCTCCTTATTCCTGAGACTGTAGATGAGGGGGTTCAGCATAGGAATCACCACCGTGTAGATCACAGATGCCACCTTGACCTGATCCGCAGAATAGCTTGACTTGGGCATTACATAAACAAACAAAACGGTCCCATAGAACAAAGTGACTGCAGTGAGGTGGGAAGTGCAGGTGGAGAAAGCCTTGTTCCTTCCCTCAGTAGAGCGCATCTTCAGGATGGAGTGGAGGATGTAGATGTAGGACACGATTATCGTAAATAGCGTGCTGATAAGGACAGATGCAGAGGTGATAGCAGGGGATATTTCGGCAATGTAAACATGGCCACAAGAAAGCTTCAAGAGTGGGAAGAGGTCACAGAAAAAGTGGTTGATTTTATTTGGACCACAGAAGGACAGGTTCATCAAACAGCCTGTAAAAGATGAAGTGTTCATGCATCCACCCAGGTAGGAGGCTCCCAGTAGGAGGAAGCAGACGATTGGGGACATTTGGATGGAGTAAAGTAGGGGAGAGCAGATAGCCACATAGCGATCATAGGCCATAGTGGCCAGCAGGAAGCACTCTGTTGTTCCAAACATGACATCAGAGCCAAGCTGTGCTATACAGCCTGTGGCGGGAATAGTCGTTTTCTCTCTTAAGAAACTGATGAGCATGATTGGTGTAACGGATGTAGAATACCCAATGTCCACAAAGGCCAAATGGCTGAGAAAAAGGTACATTGGCATGTGAAGCTGTGGGCTGCTTCGGATTAAGAAGATTATGCTAATATTTCCCACTATGGTAACTATATAAACTGCTAGAAAAACCACAAAGAAAACGGCACATAGCATAGGATTGTTTGTTAATCCCAAAAGAATGAACTCTGTCACTGTTGAATTGTTTTCAGTCTCCATCTATCCATTTAACAGTGCCTATTAAAACAAGACCAGAGGAACTTAAATTGGTTGAAATGACCCCACAGTTAATGTATATGCCTAAATATGATCTTATCATTCAATTTTTAATATAGTAACTTTGCCTTATGGAATATTTTGTGCACACAAATTTTCCTTTCAGATTTTGTTAAATAAAACTGAAGACTCAATTATCTTGGGATCCAGCTATTTTACCCCTATTTGTATATTTAGAGTAAGTCTAATCACCATGTGCACAGGAAGTATATAAAAGGATGTTTACAACAACATTTATTAAAATAACATAAACTGTTAATAACATATTAATAAATGTTCATAGAAAAGTAAACTCTAGGCCAGACATAGGGCTCATGCCTGTAATCCCAGCACTTTGGGAGGCTGAGATGGATGGATCATTTGAGGTCAGGAGTTTGAGACCAGCCTGGACAAAATGGTGAAACCCCATCTCTACTAAAAACACAAAATTAGTCAAGTGTGGTGGTGGGCATCTGTAATCCCAGCTACTTGTGCGGCTGAGGCAGGAGAATCACTTGAACCCGGGAGGCAGAGGATGCAGTGAGCTGAGTTCGTGCCACTGCACTCCAGCCTGACCAAGAGCAAAACTACCACCTCAAAAAAAAAAAAAAAAAGAAAAAGAACGGCCAATTCTTAATTTTCTGTGCCCATCCCAAATGTATCTTTTCCAGTGGTTGTACAATTAATTGGGCCTAAAAATTGACTTTGACATCTCTTTCTTTCTGACTTGCTCCTTTCCATAGAGTACAAAAACCACATCCTTAGTTATAATAATTGACAACAAGAGCTAGATGATGTCTGCAGTCAAGATGAAGTCAAACAATTTTTATTATTGTTAGAAGCTAAACAGCCTAGATACCTTGCAAAATATCCCGAGGCTTATCTCCTACACCATACCTTGTCATACATATGAGATTGTGTGAAGCAATAAGGAAAACCTAGGTATCATTGTGGACTGGATTAAATGGAAAGTGAATGGAACTATTTGGGGGATCTGTCTAGGTAAGTTTTAGCTTCACCAGTTCTAAAAAGCAACTATAGAGAAATCAGTGTGGCAGTATTTGATGCGGCTGGGGATTTAAACAGATAGGGGAAGAAGTAGCCAGATAGGAAAGGTAGGAAGTTATATTGAAAAAAAGATTAACTGACATTTCAAAATAATGGTTCCTTTGTTCAAAATACAGCACATGATCTAGGAAGGGGAGAATAGATAAGTTATATTCATTCTTTCCCATGACTCTGATCTAAAGGCCAACATATTCTTTAGAATAATTTCCTTTTTCTTCAAGAAATCCTACTTGAAGAATAATTAAGAAAACATAATAAATAAATATCAGCAACCATGCTCTTACCCAAACACATTCTATCAAATTCCATTCGATCTCAGTTACATGAGAATCATGACAACAGTATGCTCTAGTGTGAATAATACTAAGATTGTGTGCCTGAATTATTAAATTCTGGCTTTTTTATCTGGGCAAACACAAACCAGATATGAATTTAATATTTTTAAAGAAAATAGTAATAAAAAAGAAAATAAATGCATGGAAGACATAAATGTTTTCAAAGTTGAGTATGGTTGCCAGCATGGAAGGCAAAGTGACGTGCAGAAACACCATGGATTTGCAGCCATGCAAACCTGGGATCAGAGTTTTTAGTTTTGTCTCTCACAGTCTATGCAATCGCAGACAGGTTACAAGTCTTTCTGATCTTCTGTTTCCTTACCTATAAAAAGGAGATAATAATACATACCTCATATGATTCTTGTGTTAAAATATACAATGTGGGAAAAACACCTAGCACTGCTTACACAATAAGTAGATGCTCAATTACTAAATATTTGCTTGAAATAATCAACCTGTAACTTCTGATGCAGATAAAATAATCAAATATTCCTGAATCCTTAAAAAATAAGTATAAACTTGTGATACATTTATAGTAACACTGGAGATAGATTCAAAGGAATTGTTATTCTACATCAAGGCTATATTTAAGTGAGGTGTGGGTCATTTGGGATATTATTCACTTCAACTGTAACTACAAATTAATCACTTTGCTTGTTTTGGAAAATTACATTTAAGAATCCACTGGGACAAAGAAATTATATGTACACATCTATTAGGACAGCGAAATAACCTGTCCCCATGATCATATAAAGGCTTATGGATGAAGTACTTTCTAAACACCCAGGGGTTCCATGCATTTTTAAATTTGGTGATTTGAAAAAATATTATAACATTTTACCATTAACGAAGCTGAGTTTCAGAGCAACATGATTAATGTGGTTGCAGCAATTTGTGGCACTTCTGAAATGTGGCCCAGGTTTTAAGGTCACCTATGTTTAGAAATCATCTAGTTTTGCAAGAAGAGTTTAGTTTACAAACATGTATAGACTAGAACTATTTTCAGCATGATGAGTAGCATACACTTTAAAAAATTATTTGTGCTTTCCACATCTTATAGACTTGTTATAGGACACTTGATATATACACCATCCTTGGTAGTGGTAGATATTTCTCACACACACACTTTTCCCTCTCCTCATCGCCCACTCTAATCCACTAATATGTATGCTTTCCAATAGAACAATTATTGAAGAGTCCTTGAGGAGTCCATAAGTCAGCCCTTCCACATCAGGAGGATCTAACAGCTCAAACATATATGGGTCTAATTTCATTATTTTGCCTGTAGCTTTTCAGTTTTATAAGCATCACTTGTTGAAGAGAGTTTTTTTTTTCCTATTGGTTAGTCATGGCACCCTGCACAAAGATCATTTGAGCATATATGCCTGAGTTTATACCTGGAATTCCTATCTATTCTTTTGGTTTCTGTCTCTCTTTATGCCAATATCATATCATTTCAATTACAGTAATTTTGTATTTTGACATCATGAAGTGTGATGCCTCCAGCTTTGTTCTTTCCCAAGATTGTTTTGGCTGTTTGGGGTATTTTATGGTTCCATACAAACTTTGGGATACATTTTTCAATTTCTGTAAAGAATTCCATTGGGATTTTGATAAGGATTTCCTTAAATATGTAAATAATTTTCTGTAGGATGGGACATTTTAACAATATTAAGACTTCCAATTCATGAACACGAGATGTCTTTTCATTTGTTTTTGTCTTCTAAAATTTCATTCATCTGTGTTTTGTTTTTTCAGCCTACAAGTTTTTCACTTCCTTAGTTAAATTTAATCCTGCGTATTTCACTCTTTTTAATGTTTTTGGAAATGGGATTGTTTTCCTAATTTCTTTTTCTGATAATTCATTGTTAGTGTCTAGAAAAGCAATTGATTTTTAAGTCATGATTTTGTGTTCTACCAATTTAATGACTTCATTTATTGGTTCTGATGGTTGGTTTTTGGTTGACTATTAATGGTCTTCCATATACAAGATCATGTTGTAGGCTTGCAGAGATAATTTTACTTCTTCCTTTTATATTTTGATGGCTTTCTTTCTTTCTTTTTTTTTTTTTTTTTTTGAGATGGAGTTTCACTCTTGTTACCCAGGCTGGAGTGCAATGGCGCGATCTCGGCTCACCGCAACCTCCGCCTCTTGGGCTCAGGCAATTCTCTTGCCTCAGCCTCCCGAGTAGCTGGGATTACAGGCACGCACCACCGTGCCCCGCTATTTTTTTTTGTATTTTAAGTAGAGACGGGGTTTCACCATGTTGACCAGGATGGTCTCGATCTCTTGACCTTGTGATCCACCCGCCTCGGCCTCCCAAAGTGCTGGGATTACAGGCGTGAGCCACCGCGCCCGGCCGGCTTTATTTCTTTTCTTACTTCTTTGCTCAGTATTTCCAGTACTGTGTTGAGTAAAATTGGTAAAAGTGGACATGCTTGCCTTGTTCCTGACCTTAGAAAAAAATGCCTTCAGTTTTTCATCAGTTAGTATGATGTTAATTAAGAGTTTATAACATATGGCCTTTACTATGTTGAAGTAAATTCCTTCCATAGCTAGTTTGTTGAGAGTTTTTCTCATGAAAGTGTGTTGAATTTTGTCAAATAGTTTTTCCACATTTATTGAGATGATTCTTTTTTATTCTTTTTTTTTTTTTTTTTTGAGACAGGGTCTCACTTTCTTTCCCAGGTTGAGTGCAATGGTGCCATCACTGCTCACTGCAGCCTCGACCTCCTCCCAAATGATCCTCCCACCTTAGCCTCCCAAGTAGCTGGGACTATAGGCATGTGCCACCATGCCCGACTAATTTTTTTTTTTCTTTTTTCTAGAGATGGGGGTGGGTCTCACTATGTTGCCCAGGCTGGTTTTGAATTCTGGACTCCACCTCAGCCTCTCAAAGTGCTGGGATTACAGGCGTGTGCCAACATGCCCAGCTTTTTTTTTTTTAATTCTTTATTCTGTATCACATTGGTGTATCATGTTGATCAATTTGTATATGTTGAATCAACCCTGCATGCCAGGGATAAATTCTATTTGTTTATGGCATAGAATTCTTTCTTTCTTTCTTTTTTTTTTTTTTTTTGAGACAGAGTTTCGCTCTTGTTGCCCAGGCCGGAGTGCAGTGGTGTTAGCTCATTGCAACCTCTGCCTTCTGGGTTCAAGCGATTATCCTGCCTCAATCTCCCAAGTAGCTGAGATTACAGGCGCCTGGCACCACACTCAGCTGATTTTTGTATTTTTAGTAGAGATGGGGGTTTCACCATGTTGGCCAGGCTGATCTGAAACTCCTGACCTCAAATGATCCACCTGCCTTGGCTTCCCAAAGTGCTGGGATTACAGGTGTGAGCCACTGCAACTGGCCAGAATTATTTTTTTTCTAAATGTGCTGTTGAATTTAGTTTGTTAGGAATTTGTTGAGAATTTTTGCATCTATGTTCATTTGAAACTTTGGAATGTAGTTATATTTTCTGGCAGTGTTTTTGTCTGGCTTTGGTATCAGGATAATGCTGACCTCATAAAATGAATTTGGAAGAATTCACTTTTCAATTTTCAGAAGAGATTGACAAGGATTGGTGTTAATTCTTCTCTAAATATTAGGTAGAATGCACCATTGAACTCTAGATATTTTATTGGTGGGAGGTTTTTGATTACTGATTTAATCTCCTTACTTACTGGCTCAATCAGATTTTCTGCTTATTTATATTCAGTTTGGGCAAATTGTATGTTGTTGGTATATGACTGAAGTAGTCTCTTAGAATCTGTTTTATTTCTGTGGAATCAATTATAATGTTCGTCCTTATTTCTAATGCTAGTCATTTGAAACTTCCCTCATTCTTTTCTTAATCTAGCTAAAGGTTTGTCAGTTTCATCAACCTTTTTAAAAATCCACTGTTAATTTCGTTGATTTTTTCCTTTTTTCTATTTCATGTATTTCTGCTCCAATCTTTGCCATTTTCTTCCTTTTGCTAACTACGGGCTTAATTTGCTTTTTTTTTTCTACTTCCTTGAGGTGTAAATCTAGGTTAATTCAGGACTTCATTTTTAATACAGGCAGCTGTCACTATAAAATTCCCTATTAGGACTGTTTTTGCTGCATTCTATAAGTTTTTGTACATTCTATTTTGTTTTCATTTGTCCCAAGATATTTTTATCTGTCTTTTTGATTTCTTCTTTGACTCACTGGTTATTCAAGAGTGTGCTATTTAATCTCCATATATTTTTGGATTTTTCAGTTTTCCTTCTGTTATCGATTTCTACTTTTATTTCATTGTGATACAAAAAGATATTTGTTAAGATTTCAATCTTTTAAAATTTATTAAAACATTTTGTGACCAAACAAAATAAATTCTATATTATGTTTCATGTGCACTTGAGAAAAATATGCATTTTTGATGCTGTTGGTTGGAATGTTTTGTATGTCAGGAAAATTTGGTGTATAGTGTTGTTCAAGCCTCCTGTCTCCTTACTGATTTTTCTCTCTAGATATTCTATCTATTATTGAAGGTGGCTATTGAAATCTTCTATGATTATTGTATTAATTTATATTTTAGGTGCTCTGGGGTGTTGTGTGCATGTATTTATAATTGTTATATTTTCCTGATACATTGGCCCTTTTATTATTTATTTATTTATTTAGAGACAGAGTCTCATTTTGTCTCCTGGGCTGGAGTGCAATGGTGCTATCACAGCTCGCTGCAACCTCCACCTCCTGGGTTCCTGCGATTCTCCTGCCTCAGCCTCCCAAGTAGCTGGGATTACAGATGCACAGCACCACATCTGGCTAATTTTTTGTAGTTTTAGTAGAGATGGGGTTTCACTATGTTGGCCAGACTGGTCTTGAACTCCTGACCTCATGATCTGCCTGCCTTGGCCTCCCAGAGTGCTGGGATTACAGGTGTGAAGCCACCACACCCGACTGGCCCTGTTATTATTATATAAGGACCTTCTTTGATTCTTTTAACAGTTTCTGACCCAAAGTCTGATATAAGTATGGTCAACCCTGCTATCTTTTTTAAAAATTAAAAAATTTATTTTAGATTCAGGGGTACATACGCAGGTTTGTTACCTGGATATATTGCATAATAGTCAAGTTTGGGTTTCTAGTGAACCCATCACTTAAACAGTGAACATTGTACCCAATAAGTAATTTTTCAGATATAATATCTTTTGGAGTCCCTAGTATCTATTATTCCCATTTTTATGCCTGTGTGTACCCATTGTTTAGCTTCCACTTATAAATGAGGATATGCACTATTTGATTTTCTGTTTCTGAGCTATTTCACTTAACATAATGTCCTCCAGCTTCATCCTTGTTGCTACAAAGGACATGCTTTCATATTTGTTATGGCTGAGTAGTATTCCATGGTGTATGTATACTGCATTTTTAAATTTAATCAGCTGTTGATAGGCACTAAGTTAATTCCATGACTTTGCTATTGTGAATAGTGGTGCAATAAACAAACAAGCTTAGGGGTCTTTTGATATATTGATTTCTTTTCCTTCAGGTAGAAAGGAAAAGTCATAGGATTGCCAGGCCAAATGGTACTTCCATTATTTAGTTCTTTGAGAAATCTACATACTGTTTGCCTTAGCAGTTGTACTAACTTACATTCTTATCAACAGTGAATAAGCATTTTCTTTTTCTCTGCATCCTCATCAACATCAGTTATCTTCTGACTTTTTAATTATAGCCATCTGACTGGTGTGAGATGCTATCTTATTGTGTTTTTGATTTGCATTTCTTTAATGATTAATGATGTAGGGCATTTTTTTCATATGCTTGTTGGCCATGTGTATCTCTTCTTTGAGAAATGCCTGCTCATGTCCTTCACCCATTTTTTAATGTGGCTATTTGTTTTTTTCTTGTTGATTTGAGCTCCTTACAGATTCTAGATATTAGTCCTTTGTTTGATGCATAGTTTGCAGATATTTTCTCCCATCCTGAGGCCGTGTGATTATCCTGTTGATTATTTATTTTGCTGTGCAGAAGTCCCTTAATTAAGTCCCATTTGTCTATTTTTTGTTTTCATTTCAGTTGCTTTTGTGGTCTTAGTTACAAATTCTTAGCCGAGGCCAATGTCCAGAAGAGTTTTTCCTAGGCTTTCTTCCAGAGTTTTTATGGCTTCAAGTATTACATTTAAGTTTTTAATCCATATTAAGTTAATTTTTGTATATGGTGATAAATAGGGGTCCAGTTTCATTCTTCTGCATATGGCTAGCCAATTTTCCCAGCACCATTTATTGATTAGGGTATACTTTTCCCATTGTTTATTTTGTTGACTTTGTTGAAGATCAGATGATCGTAGGTATGTGATTTTATTTCTGGGCTATTTTGTTTCATTGATCTATAGGTCTATTTTTGTACCAGTATCATGCTGATTTGGTTATTATGGCCTTGTACTGTACTTTGAAGTGAGGTAAGGGGATGCTTTCAGCTATATTAATTTGCTCAGGATTGCTTTGGCTATTTGGACTTTTTTTTTGGTCTCATATGAATTTTAGTATTTATTTTTCTAATTCCATGAAAAACTACACTGATAATTTCATAAAAATTGCATTGAACTTGTGGATTGCTTTGGGCAATACAGCCATTTTAATGATATTGGTTCTTTCAATCCATGAGCATGGGATTCTTTTTATTTGTTCATGTTACCTACACTTTCCTTCATTGGTGTTTCATAGTTCTCCTTGCAGAGGTCTTTTGCCTCCTTGGTTAGGTGTATTGTTAGTTATTTTAATCTTTTGTGGCTATTATCAATGGGGTTGAGAGCTTGATTTGGTTCTAAGCTTGAGTGTTATTGGTATATAGAAATTCAACTTATTTTTGTATATCAGTTTGTATTGAAACTTTACTGAAGTTGTTTATCGAGTCTATGGTCTTTTGGAGGAATCTTTAGGGTTTTCTAGGTATAAGATCATGTAGTCAGTGAACAGATATAGTTTAAACCTGACAAAATCTGGAACAGACTCATAGCTAATTTCATACTTAATGGCCAAAGACTAGATGCTTTCCCCAGATACAAGGAACAAGACAAGAATTCTCTTGCTACTTCTATTCAACATTGCAGTGGAAGAAGCAAGGCAATTAGCAATAAGAAGAAATAAAAGTGATCCAGATTGAAAAGGTAGAAGTAAAACTGTATTTTCAGATGACATGATTCCATGGAAAACATAAAGGTATAGAAAAAATATAGAAATCCATTTAAAATTATAAGGACTAATTTTAAACGAATCTAGGAAACTTGTAGGATATAGGATGAATATAACAAATCAATGGTATTTCCTTGCACTAGCAATGCAAAATCTAAAAATGAAATTAAGAAAACAATTTCATTTACAGTAACATCATTTATTTCAATGCTGAAAGGAATGAAATAAAACCTAAATGAATAAAAATTCTTATGTTTATGAATTAGAAGTCTTAATATTAAGATGAAAATATTCCCCAAATTTATCTGTAGATTAAACATAATCCCCCAAAGTCCCAGATGATTTCCTTATAGAAATTCACAAGATTATAAAATGTATATAGAAATGCAAGTGACCTCCAATGGCCAAAACTATCTTGAAAAACAAGAACAAAGTCGGAGAATTCATGTTTCCCAATTTCAATACTTACTATAAAACAATACTAATCAAGGCTGGGAACAGGGGCTCAGGCCTATAATCCCAGCACTTTGGAGGACAAGGAGAATGGATCACTTGAGGTCAGTAGTTCAAGACCAGCCTGGCCAACATGGTGAAATCCTGTCTCAATGAAAAACACAAAAATTAGCCAGGCGTGGTGGCAAACATCTGTAATCCCAGCTACTCAGGAGGTTGAGGCAGGAGAATTGTTTGAACCTGAGAGGCAGAGGTTGCAGTGAGCCATTATGCCACTGCACTCCAGCATGTGCAATGGAGTGAGACCCTGCCTCAAAAAAACACAATAACAACAAAACAACACTAATCAAGACAGTGTGTACTGGAAAAAGGATAGGTATAAATCAATGGAATAGAGTTGTGATCAGAAATAAATCCACGTGTCTATGGTGAACAGATTGTCTATAAGGGTGCCAAGAATATTCAATGGGGTAATGAATAATCCTTTTGATAAATGATACTGGGTCATTTGAATATCCACATGAAAAAGAATAAGGTTGGACCCTTATCTTAACCCACATACAAAAGTTAATTCAAATGGATCAAAGGACCTAAATGTAAGATTTAATACTATAAAACTCTTAGAAGAAAGCATTGGGGAAAATCTTCATGATCTTGGAGTAAGCAATAGATTCTCAGTTATAACATCAAAACCATGAGCAAAAAAGAAAAAAAAAGATAGATAAATTTCACCTCATTTGAGTTAAAAACTTTTGTGCTTCAAAGGAAAGTATAAAGAAAGAGAAGAAACAACCTACAGAATGGAAGGGAATACTTGCACATAGCATATCTGATCAAGGATGTGTATCTAGAATAATTTTAACAATCTAAATTCAGTACAAATACCCAAATTAAAAATGAGTAGAGAATTTGAATATATTTCTTTAAAATAGACATACAAATGATGAATAAGTACATAAAAGATCTTTGCTGTCATGTGTAATTAGGAAAATATAATTCAAACCCAGAATAATATATTACTTCACACTTCCTACTATATGAACAAGGTAGCCTCAAAATTCCTGCACCAGCTTACATCATCTAATTTTCCATAACCCACTTCAGAACTTCCCTACCAGGGCCATGATCTGTCAGCAGCAATAGCACTCTCCACGACTGTAAGGATCATAAATTAGAAGCTGTTTATTTTTGTGCTCTAAACCAATTTAAATAGCATTTGAATTATTTGTTCCTTGAAGATTTAAACAAGTTAATTTATTAAACTATCTGCTCTAATGCTTTTTGGATCAGAATAGGAAAGCATCTCTTTGACAAATTTTTCAAAAATTTCCATGGAAATTGGTATGTCAAAAAAATGTCTATTGCTCTTTAGGTCATTTTGTAAGCTTATTTTTTCCATAAATGTATTCATGTTTTTCTTCTAATTTTCAAATTTGTTTGAATAAATTTGAACAAAGTATTCTCTTAAATTGATTTTAATTTTCTCTGTATTTTAGTCATATCCTCATTTCAATTTCAACTTTGTATGTTTGTACTTTCTTCCTCTTTTTAGATTAATTATACTAGTCAACTCTATTTTCCCCCTTTTTTCCTTCCTTCCTTCCTTCCTTTCTTCCTTCCTTCCTCTCTTTCTTCCTTGCTGTCTTTCTCTCTTTAGTATCATATTTTCCTTTTTCCCCAAAAGCAACTGCTATCATTAAAATACAGTGTCCCAAAGCAATACATTCCCTGAAAGCATATGTGTTTCACACACACACACACACACACAGATGCACAAAAACACCATTTAAAAATATTTTAAAATGGCATCCTCTCTGTAGTAGGAAAATTGTGAGGCCAGGACATATCAGGCAATTAGACAATACTTTAACCACTTGAGCACAAAGTGATATTAATTGGAAGTACTCCACTTTTCCCACCTTTATTTATCAATGATAGGTAATTTTTTAAAAACAGTGCTGCATATTCAGATAGGTAATTTTTTTTAAATATTCGGGGCTCCTTTTTTTGTCTTCTTAGGGAAAAACCCAATTACACTGCCTAGTGCTTTTCTTAGTGCTATCTGCATTTCTTTGTTTCTCAGACTGTACACAATGGGGTTAAGTAGAGGTGTCAGTATTGTGTATGCCATGGCCATCAGCATGGCTTCATGGAAGGAGTTGCTGTTCTTGGGCCTCAAATAGACAAAGTAAGCAAATCCATAGTGTATGGACACAACAGTGAGGTGGGAGGAGCAAGCTGAGAAGGCCTTAGACCTCCCCTTGGAAGAGGGCATCTTTATGACTATGAATACAATGAAGACATAGGAAATCATAATTAAAATAAAGCTGCCCACCAACACAAAGGCAGAGAGCACAAAAATAGTCATTTTATAATAGGAAGTGTAATTACAAGCAAGGGAGACCACAGGTGAGATATCACAGAAGTAGTGCTGGATAGTGTGCAGGTCGCAAAAAGACAAGTTGAATACAGTGATGATGATGCACAGAGAAAACAGGAACCCAACCATCCAAGAAGCCATCATCATCTGCAAGCAGCTCTTTCTTGTCATAAGGGTGTGGTACTGCAGTGGGTTGCGGATGGCTGTGTAGCGGTCATAGGACATGGCGTCCATGATGAAACAGTTGTTGGATGCGAAGCCCAAAAAGAAAAACATCTGTGTGGCACACTCAGGAAGAGAAATGGTCTTGCTCTCTGATAGCAAGTCCACCAACATGCGAGGGATGACTACCATAGTGGTACAGGTTTCTGAAAAGGACAGGTCACAGAGGAAAAAGTACATGGGAGTGTGGAGGTTGTGGCTGAGTTTGATGGCCCCCATTACGGACACATTTGCTGCTATGATAGTCACGTGGAAGAAGAGAATCACTACAAAAAGTAGACTCTGCAGGTCTGAAAAACTGGAAAATCCCCACAGAAGGAATATGCTCACTGCAGTGCGATTGCCTATCCTCCTGGTGGGCACAGCCACTGTCTATCAATGGTGCAGAGGTGTTCTTGGTCAGGAGTCTGAGAACACTGTATAAAGCTCCTTATGCACTAATTTAACTGTATTTTATTCAGGGAACCTGGGCAGGTGTGAGGCAACTCTTAGAATACCTGGGGACAGGGAGTTAAATGTGTCTGGAAAGAGGTCAAGGTCAGGAGCCTAGTGATGAGAAGAATGATTCTAGTATGAGAGCATGTATAGATGACATCGAATGGGCCCAAATATTTATACCTGGATTCTACCCACAAAAGCACAGTTTATCTCCCTCTTCTCCATTCTGGATCTACAAGGAAGATGTAAAATATGAATGAAAGTTTTTTCTTTTATCTTACCTACTGGATTTTGAGACGTTACATTTATCAAATGCTTTTTGTGATTTAGTGGTACCCTAGCACTCAGGAGTGCTTAAAATAAACTGTTAATTGAATGAATAAAATAATTCCATTATTTAAAATTAACATAACACTTAGAAAATTCTGAGAAATCAGTGAAAATTTCCAAAAGAACATTCACATTTCTTTCAATGCAATTCTCTTTTCATCAGTGCTCTCCACTGTTTAGTGGTTCCGAGGGTGACATTTGAGTCAATGACGAAGACAAATCAATTTAACATGTTGTATCCTCTGGGTTCATATATGTGGTAATAATAACGCTTGAGACATACAATATCAATTGTTCTTATTACAGTAGCTCTTAAGATATATCATTAATTTTTAAGTTCTTAAGAACATCATAAATCAAGAATGAACTGCCATTCACAACTGCTACAGAGAGAATAAAATACTTAGGAATATAACTAACAAAGAATGTAAAGAACCTCTTCAAGGAGAACTACAAACCACTGCTCAATGAAATAAGAGAGTACACAAACAGATGGAGAAGCATTCCATGCTCATGGTTAGGAAGAATCAATATTGTAAAAATGGCCATACTGCCCAAAGTAATTTATAGATTTGATGCTATCCCCATCAAGCTACCAATGACCTTCTTCACAGAACTGGAAAAATCCAACTTAAACTTCATATGGAATCAAAAGAGAGCCCACATAGCCAAGTCAATTCTAAGTAAAAAGAACACAGCGGGAGGCATCACACTACCAGACTTCAAACTATACTACAAGGCTACAGTAATCAAAACAACATGGTACTGTTACCAAAACAGAGATATAGACCAATGGGACAGAACAGAGACTTAAGAGGCAATGCCACACATCTACAACCATCTGATCTTTGACAAACCAGACTAAAACAAGCAATGGGGAAAGGATTCCCTGTTTAATAAATGGTGTTGGGAAAACTGGCTAGCCATGTACAGAAAGCAGAAACTGGACCCCTTCCTGACACCTTACACTAAAATTAACTCCAGATAGATTAAAGATTTAAATGTAAGACCTAACACCATAAAAACCCTAGAAGAAAACCTAGGAAAAACCATTCAGGACATAGGTGTAGGCAAGGACTTCACGACCAAAACACCAAAAGCATTGGTAACAAAATCCAAAACAGACAAATGGGACCTAATTAAACTCCAGAGCTTCTGCACAGCAAAAGAAACAATCATTTGAGTAAACTGGCAACCAACAGAATGGGAAAACATTGTTGCAATCTACCCATCTGACAAAGGGCTAATATCCAGATTCTACAAAGAACTAAAACAGATTTACAAGAAAAAAACAAACAAGCCCATTCAAAAGTGGGGAAAGGATATGAACAGACACTTTACAAAAGAAGATATATATGAGGCCAACGAACATATGAAAAAATGCTCATCATCACTGGTCATTAGAGAAATGCACATCAAAATCACATTCAGATATCATCTCTTGCCAGTTAGAACGGCAATCATTAAAAAATCTGGAGACATCAGATGTTGGAGAGGATGTGCAGAAATAGGAACACTTTTACACTGTTGGTGGGAGTGTAAATTAGTTCAACTATTGTGGAAGACAGTGAGGCGATTACTCAAGGACCTGGAAATAGAAATTCCGTTTGCCCCAGCAATCCCATTACTGGGTATATATCCAAAGGATTATAAATCATTCTGTTATAAGGACACATGCACACTAACGTTCATTGCAGCACTGTTTACAGTAGCAAAGACCTGGAACCAGCCCAAATGCCCATCGATGATAGACTGGACAAGGAAAATGTGGCACATATACACCATGGAATACTATGCAGCCATAAAAATCGATGAGTTCATGTCCTTCGTAGGGGCATGGATGAACCTGGAAACCATCATTCTCAGCAAACTGACACAAGAACAGAAAATCGAACACTGCATGTTCTCACTCCTAGGTGGGTGTTGAACAATGAGAACACATGGACACAGGGAGGGGAGTATCACACACTGGAGTCTGTGGGGGGGAGAAACTAAGGGAGGGACAGTGAGGGGGTGGGGAGTTGGGGAGGGATAACATGGGGAGAAATGCCAGATAAAGGTGATGGGGAGGAAGGCAGCAAACCACATTGCCATGTATGTACCTATGCAACAATCTTGCATGTTCTTCATATGTACCCCAAAACCTAAAACGCAATAAGTATATATATTTTAAAAAAAGAACATCACATTGAAGTTATTTTTGAAGTGTCTAGTATCATATAATGGATTAACTTAGATTTAATATAATTTTGAAGATACTGGCTCATTCCAGAATGGCATATTCTGACCATAATGTTCTGATCAATTTTTGTGTTTTTAGCAGAACTTCCAGAATATTTGTCAGCTAGTATACTTAAGTGGTTTGCTTTGCAACAAGCCTAAGAAGAATATTCTTCAGATCAATTTTGCCAGTAACATTTCTATTTTGATTGTTCAACATGCAATCTGATTAGGAGATGAGGGCAAAAAAGTGATATGAGACTCTTCATAGAATTTTTATTTTAATTTCAGTCATGGTTAAAGGTGAAGGGAAAGAAATAAGGAAGCAGGTATGAGAATGAAGGGCTGGGAGAGAAAAAAGGAATGCTGGGTAAAATTACTTTGAAAGATTCATCAAGACTAAAGACAAAAAAAGACAAAAGACAAAACAATTATTTTGTAAGTTGAGAAGTTACTGTCTTCCATGTGCATTGCATTTGTAGGCAAAGAATACAAGAAGAGTTAGGGCAGGTATCCGGCACCCACTCAATACCAATAATGTGTTAAACAATATGCTAGGATTAGACAGACTGTTCATGTAATTCTTATAAGGCTATGCGAAGAATTTTTGTCTTTATTTTACAAAATGTGAAAGCAAGGTATGGAGTTGTTATATGACTATAAAGGCCGTGAATTAACTCCATGTATATTGACTAGATGCCAATGATGTATCCGGCAATTGTATGCATAGGAAGGATGACATGGAACCAGACATGTAGGATCTCTGTGATGCGAGAGAGCTTCACTACTGTCCTTTGTGGAATTTGAAGGCCCTCTCTGAGGAGGTGACACACTTAAATGGAGAATAGAATGACTATATGTAAACAATAGATGATGATCAGGGGGAGAATGCTGCAGGCACAAGGCACAGATAACACATAAACCCTGAGGTGGAAAACAAATACACCCAACATTTTTCAACCAAGACTCATGTCGCTTATTTTTTAGTCTACTCCCCACAGACTCTTTCCTCTGAAGGTTTCCCAGAGGATTTACCTCTAAAGGAAAGTCTTTCCTATTTCTGTTGTTTTAGAACCGCTTACTTTGCGTGACTCAAATTTCAGCCTCTATCAAAAAAGGATCTCCAATTTCTTCTGGGACATCTCCAAATCCAGAATGTCCTCCAAGTACTGAATACAGATTTTTAGAGCAGAATCAGCCATATTCCCCCACATATTGGGTTTTCTTCCTGTGTTTCCTATTTGAGTTCTTTCCAGACATCAGAGAGTTACTATTAGACTGCATTTCTTATTCCTATCACATCTTTTACCCCAATAAGTTACTACCAAAATTCCAGATATCTGTTTTCCAACATCTTAACCTTCTCTTAGTCCCTCTGCTATTGCCCTATGTCTGCCCCATAGGGTGAATATGGCATCTCCTTCTCCCAGTTCTATCCTTCACCCACTGCCAGCTTATTTATGTCAAACCTATGTCTCCTCATTATAGATGTCTTTTGGACCCCTTTTGCCTACAATCTAAATAATAATAACTTACACTCTTTATTATATGTTTTGGTTATATAGTGTTGTACATACTCATAGTTACTCTAAGATATAAGTACTATTAAAATGATCTTATTTGCAATTAGGAAGTTGTGGCTCAGAGAGGTACCTGATTTGCCAAAAGTGAGATTGTAAATGTACATGCACAGCATATTTACAGCAAGGCAGTGAGAGTCTAGAGAACTGCATACTTAGCTAGTTGATTCTAAGGGGAATTCCACCTAGCATGGCTTCAAGGTCTTACCTGTCCATCCTCATTTCCTTCTGCTAACCTCTCCTACATAAGAAAAATTCCACTATATCCCAAATACAGCATGTCCTTTTGGGGCTCTTATACTTTACCCATGTTATTTTCTCTAAGTTGCAATGTCTTTCCTACCCTTCTCTGCCTCCTAAAAACATAGCTTTCTCAAAATGACAATTAATCACTTCTCAAAAGACTCTCTAAATTTGCCTAGGTGTTATTCATCTTCTAGATTCACGTGCCATTTTATTGTAATAAGGTATTTTTTTACAAGCTTGACTCCTGTACTAGACAGGACAAACACCTATGTAAAATTTTGTCTCCCCCAATTTTCAGCCTAAGTTGAGTGCAATGTCAGTTTTGACTAAGGGTAGTTCGATGGCCATAGGATAAAATGGGATCTCATATTCTCCAGAAAGCCTTCCATGATTATGACTTCAATTCATTCATTAATTCTTCCCCAATACATTGTTTAAACTTTTACACTTATTTTATTTGGAAATACACTAAAGGCAGTTGGCTGCTTTCTAAGTAGATTTTAAGGATCTTGTCACCTAGCAATGTGAATGCAATAAGTGCTTTCTAAATGCTTAATTGCACTTATGAATGTTGAACAACCACAAAAACAAGTTCTGAAAACTTCAGCAGTGGTTGCTTAGAGCCTAGGAAAAAGAAACCATCATTTTTATATTCTACATTTTTCATTTCCTCCCCTTATTTACTGTAATATTAAATCACACTTGACCTGTAAATGGTCATATTAGAGTCACTAGGAGAGCTTCATCAAAGAATATATTTTTCATCTCCAGGAGATTTTCCATCTCCAGGATATCAGGATATGTATAGTTTGCACAATGCTTCTCAGTGATTTTGGTTGGGAGCATTTGACTTTTTTGATACCTTTCATACATGTCGATAGTAAAGTCTGCTTTCCTCATTATTTAAGTATAGTAGTGACAAAAGATATGTCTACATAACATTACCCTCTTCCTTCCCAAGGACCCTGGCAGCCTCTGGAGAACAAGATGCCCACAACATTGTGTCAGCCTTTCTGTTTGGTTTCCCCAAGTCTTACCCTTTTCCTATACCTGGATTTTGCCTTGAGTTTGCCATCCTGTTCTCTGTTTTTAGTTCTTCAAATCCCTCCTCATGTAGTTTTCTGGGTTTTCTCTCTACCAAGAATAAGAAACAGACAACATTCTTAATTTCCAGCTATCTGTCCCCATAATTTCTTCAGTACTACTGAAGAATAGTCGTAGAATATTCAAAATACTTCAACTTGTAACAGGCTGTAAACACACACATTGATTATTAGAACACATAGAATGATGTACATTGTAAAAAGTAAAACAAAAAATCCCCAAAACTCTAAAATTCTTACCTTCTAAAGAAGGATAATCACCTTCCAGTTTTTTAAAATCATGAAGTACTTAAGCTGTAGGAATAATGTACAATTTCACACTCAGGTGTGGCTTTCTGCAGTTCCTTCTGTCATTTCACTCATGTCATCATTCACGGATAAGTGTTAAAGCAACATTTTCCTTTGAATGCCTATGATCAGTCCCCTCCAAATTTAGAGTCACCTATACTTAAAAGGTAATGCTATCTTCATTTCTTGGAGATGGTGCTCAGAACCATGAAGATTTTAATGAGAGTCCTGGAAACCACTATCTTGCAACTACTGATTTAGATACCACAGTCTTGACCTCTATATCACTCTATGTGATGCTCACAAGTATGTTTTCTTAAATCCTTACACACCATAGGGGCTTTTCAGTGACATCTGCTCCTGTTCTTCTGAATAACAGTAGAAATGATTGAAATTCAACTTGTTAAAAATATATCCTTAGAATGCAGATGATTCCCTTGGGCATTTTTTACTTTCTGCACAATACCATTTATTTTATGATTCTGAAAATTTGTGAAGTCTCTCAGGTCTCTTCAAACTTATTCACAGGGCAAGGGAATGGGTCATAATTAGAAGCTATTGCCTGGGGAAACAAAAGAAGGAAGGTAAGAGGAAAACAAACACACAGTATGATCACTGTGATTTTTTTCTCATGGGGCAACTCCGCTGTAGAAGACCTTGCTGAAAAGGAATATCCACTATTATCCAAACCTCCAGTTACTGCACTGCCATCTGTAGTATCCACAGGTGGCTTCTAATTGCCCCTCTGGCCAGCTTGTCCCTCAGTGCCTTCACCATCTATAACAATCTTCTACCTAATGTATTAGCAAGTCTTGTCTCCAATATCTGTTCCCATCATCTCAATACTTCAGGCAAACTAATGTATTGTTTTCTAATAAAATTATCCATTTTCCTCATTTCGTTTTCTGTCTGAAAAATCTGTATTCTTGATTTCACCCATCCGAAAATTTGCACATTCTTCAAGGCTCAGAACAAATGCCACATAATCCAAGAAACCCCTAGCTTGCATAATGCACAAAAACCGAGTCAAAAATCGTCACCATTAAGAAGGAATTCTATAAGGAGAGCCACTTATTTTGGATAACTTGCATTGGGTACCAGAACATCAATGCTAACAGAGTCAGTGTAGGTAGCTGTACACAATAAATAAGACTTGTTGAAACTAACTAGACATTTTAGTGCTTTTCCTGGATCTCCCTTACCAGAGCAGTGAATACATTCCCAAGTTTATTTGAGAGCCAGCTTCTAACATATATAAACCTCTCTTTTGAGAATTGCTCTTGGCCAAAAGGAACATAAGTGACTGGGAATAGCTGGGAGTACATGCCCTCACACCCAGGGTGGCCCGTCCATAGTCAACAACGGAATGATATGGTGAATTTAAAACAACAATGGCAGAAATGTCCTACTGTTACAAGCTAGAACCACTCCGAAGTGCCATTTGTGCTCCAGTGCTTCCTCGGGAATCAGACTGATGCTACTTTCAGCTGACCCCACACCTTTCTGTGGCATATTTCCATGCCTTGTCCTGTTTCTCTCTCATTCTTAGTTTTCTCCTGAGATCACTCTTTTACTAAATCATATACATTTGAATTGCTAAGGTTCTGCTTTTGTAGAACGTGTCATAAGACAGAGTTTTAATAAATACATGGAATAAAGATTGCTTATACTTTATTATACACACTCAAAATTGGAAAATAGTAAAGTATATCTAGTGACAGAAGATCGTGAAAACGAAACAAAACAAAATAGTAAAGTATAAACAGTACCTACCCTCTCCCATCTTGAACCAGTCTGTTTTGTATTCTGCAATCTCACATTCCTCCTTTGGGTCTTTTTCTACCACTTTTGTCTTTTTCATGTTTGGTAGAGAGTGAAACTTTGCCAACTTGAAGAAGCACCTCACAGTGACCATGGGCCTTCTTCAGCTCTCATCGCCAAGGACCACATAGTTTCTGAGGTTGCCAACCCCAGCTATCTGAGTCAATGGGACGCCACGCACACTGAGGCCCACAGTCACCATATGCCCCTTTGTTTGGTACCTCACGCATTCCAGTATGTCTAACCCACTGCAGGTGAAGGTCTTTACTCTAAAAAGTCAGTTCATGAATTTTGGAGGGGATGACTGCTTCTTCAAATGCATAGACACCTACACAAAGTTACAAGAATCACACAGAATCAGGAAAACATGATGCCACCAAAAGAACACAATAAACTTCCAGTAATTATTCTCAAAGAAAAGGAGATCCACAAGTTGACTGAAAAAGAATTTGAAATAATTGTTCTAATGAATGTCAGGGGCTAGAAAAGAATGCAGATAAACAATTTAACAAAATCAGGGAAAAAATTTAAAAAAGAATTAAAGAAAGAGGAAAACATTAAAAGAAACAAATTTTGAGTGGAAAAATATAATGACTGAATTTTAAAATGCAATACAGTTCTTCAACAGCAGACTCAATCAAGAAGAAAAAAATGAGTAAAATCAGACAGGTCATTTGAATCAGAGGAGAAAAAAGGAAAATAATTTAAAAAATGAAGAAACTTTATGGGCTATGTGGAACACTATTAAGAGAGCTCACTTTGCATTAGGGGAGTTCCAGAGAGAGAGAGAGAGAAAGAGAGAGAGAGAGAGAGAGAGAATGAATGAGGCAGAAAGTTTGCTGAAAGAAATTATGGCTGAAAACTTCCCAAATCTGGGAAGAGACCCTCATCTCACACTGTACACAAAAATTACCTCATATGGATTAAAGACTTACATATATGACCGAAAACTCTAAAACTACTAGATTAAAACATAGGAGAGAAGTTCCATGACATTGATGTAGGCAATGAGTTTTTGGATATGGCCTGTAAAGCACAAACAACAAAAGAAAAAACAGATAAATGGAATTACATAAAGCTAAAAAGTTCAACATGGCAAAGGGAAAAATCAACAGAGTAAAGAGACAACTAATGAAATGGGAGTTGGGCATAGTGGCTCACATTTGTAATCCCAGCACTTTGGGAGGCTGAGGCAGGCAGATCACTTGAAGTCAGAAGTTTGAAACTAGTCTGGCCAACATGGTGAAACCCTGTCTCTACTAAAAATACAAAAAGAAGCTGGATGTAGTGGCACACACCTGTAGTCTCAGGTACTCAGGAGGCTAAGGCAGGAGAATTGCTTGAACCTGGGAGGCAGAGGCTGCAGTGAGCTGAAATTGCACTATTGCGTTCCAGCCTAGGCAACAGAGTGAGACTCCATCTAAAAAAAAAAAAAAGGAGAAAGAAATGAGAGAAAATATAATAGTCATTTCTCATTACAAATGGGCAATGGGTGTATTCTGCTCATGTACCCCCAAACCTAAAATCCAATAAAAAATTTTAAAAAAAAGAATGCTATTCAAAATGTGAATTGAAATAATTCACATTTATTTTAATAAATTATATCTTTATTACAAAAAAAATGTCCAACACCACCAATCATTAGGGAAATGTAAATTAAAAACTGCAATTAGTTATCACCTCACACTTGTTAGGATGACTATTATAAAAAAAATCAACAGGTAAGTATTGGCAAGGATGTGGAGGGAAGGCAACCTTTATATATTGTTAGTGGTACTATAAATTGGTATGGCCAATATGGAAAACAGTATAGAGATTCCTCAAAAAACTAAAAATAGAACTACCATAGAATCTAGCAATCCCACTTGTGAGTATGTATCTAAAAGAATTGCAATTAGTTTCTCAAGAGATATCTGCATTCCTGTGTTCATTGCAGTATTATTCACTGTAACTGTATGGAACTGTAAAATATGGAAATAACTAGGTGTTTTTTGATGGATGAATGAAGAAAATGAGATGTGTGTGTGCATATATATGTATATATGTGTATGTGTATACTATAGATACATACTATATGGTATGTGTACACATATATGTAAACAGTATATATAGTATACATATATGTAAACATTCATCTCACAAATTTTCATTTATAAGATGATCAAGTACAGCATAGTAACTATAGGTAATAATGATGTATACTTGAAATTCAGTAAGACAATAAATATTAAGTGCTCTCACCACACACACACACACACACACACACACGCTAATTCTGAGGTGATGGGTATGTAAGCCTGATTCTATTGTTATTACATATCAATAATTGTTGTAAAAAATCATGTGGTACATCTTAAATAAATACAATTTTTGATAGTCATGCCTCAATAAAGCCGGAACTAAAATAACATTGCTTTTGTATAGTATCTTTGTATACAGAGATCTTACTAAATTAGTGCTACTGTGTTTTATAGATGCCTGAGACTTTTCTGCTTAAACTGGAAACAAAGGACAGTTTAAATTCTTCCTATTTCATCTTTATATTTTTTGTTACTCTTTATTGCCTTATTTCAATACCTGGTACTTCTAATATATTGTTGAGTAGAAGGGTGAGGTTGGACTTTCTTGCCTTTTACCCAAATGTGGATGGAAGTCATTCAATATTTTACCATTAAGAATGATGTTAGTTGAAAGATTTTGTAGATACTCTTCCTCATTTTTTTTTGTCACTATAGTGGTTGCTGTTCTTCCTCTTTCCTGCATTTTTCATTATTTGAACTTTTAAAAGTGTCCATTTGCATTTTTCCACTGACATTTTTGGCATACCCCTTTGCATTACTTTTTTTTTTTTGAGACGGAGATTCGCTCTTGTTACCCAGGTTGGAGTGCAATGGCGCAATCTCGGCTCACCGCAACCTCCGCCTCCTGGGTTCAGGCAATTCCCCTGCCTCAGCCTCCTGATTAGCTGGGATTACAGGCACGCGCCACATGCCCAGCTAATTTTTTGTATTTTTAGTAGACATGGGGTTTCATTATGTTGACCAGGATGGTCTTGATCTCTTGACCTCGTGATCCACCCGCCTCGGCCTCCCAAAGTGCTGGGATTACAGGCGTGAGCCACCGCGCCCGGCTGCATTACTTTTTAAATGATTGTTTTCAGAATTACAACATATGCCTCTAAATTTTTGCAGTTTACCTAGAGCTAATTAATTCATATAAAATATAGGGATTCTGAGATAATTATGTTTATTTTCTTCCTTCCACTAAGTCATCATGTGTCTTACATCTCTATACATAAATATCCCACAAGACAATATTAGAATTTTTTATTTGCTGCTTTGTATAAATTTGAAAGGAATTAAGAGAAATACAGTATTTTTCCTTAGCTTTATTGAAGTATAATTAACAAATAATCAGAAATGATGAGTTCGTGTCGTTTGTAGGGACATGGATGAATCTGGAAAACATCATCCTCAGCAAACTGACACAAGAACAGAAAATGAAACACCGTATATTCTCACTCATAGGTGGGTGATGAAAAATGAGAACACATGGACACAGAAGGGGAGTACTAAACACTGGGGTCTATTGGGGGGAAAAGGGGAGGGCCGGTGGGAGGGGGAGGTGGGGAGGGATAGCCTGGGGAGAAATGCCAAATGTGGGTGAAGGGGAGAAGAAAAGCAAAGCACACTGCCATGTGTGTACCTTCGCAACTGTCTTGCATGCTCTGCTCGTGTACCCCAAAACCTATAATCCAATAAAAAATTAAAAAAAAATCTCATATTTTTATGCAGTACAATGTAATATTTTGACATATGCATACATTATGAAATGATTAAATCAAGCAAATTAACATATCCATCACTTCACAAACTTATAAAACTTTTGTGATAAAAACATTTTAGATCTACTCTCTTAATTCTTAAGTATATTTTATTATTAAATATAGTCACTATGCTGTACAACAGATCACCAGAAAAATATTGTATGTCTTTTTATTAAACTAGATATTTACCATTTTAGATTATTTTCATATATTCCTACCAACAAAAGATTACCTTTCTCCCCTTGATGTTCTGCTTCTTGGTGGTATGATCAAGGTCACTGCTGTAACAGTATCTTGATTCTACAGGAACAAACGAGAGGCCCAGAGACTGTCTTCCAGAACTGTCCATCTGTGAAAGATCAGGGCAGAGCATGTTTGCACTGAATTCCAGCCTTTATTAGTTGGGGCTGCCCTTAGGAGAATTTACTGCTTCCACATCTAGGAGGTGCTTGCATGAGGACTGAGCAGGCTTCTAACAGTTTCCTAGAAGGTCGTAGGCTTCAGATAAGAAGTGGAGCATCAAGTGGAGAGGTTTAGTGGTTAGCACTGGAAGCAGGAAACTGACAATGTAGATTGGAATCACCCAGTGCAAATTGCTTGAACTCCTTGGTCTCAGTTCTCTCATTTGAAAAAATAAGGGTAATAAAAACGCCTCATAAAATTGTTATAAGGATTAAATGTGTATAAACTGTTAAGCATAGTAGTTGTTGGCATAAGGCGACTCTGAATGAATGCTGGTTCTAATTATCATAGTGGTGGTAAACCTGCTTTCTCAAAAGACGGGCTTCAGGGGTTGAGATAAGAGATTCTAAAATTAGGATTAGCAAGAGAATTAGGGAAAAATGGAGTCTTTGGGTTGAAAATACCTATGTTCTACCACTTCTCACTATACGATAAGGAACCACTCAAGAGACAACTCTTCAAGATATCAATGGCGAGAGATTATTTCTTATCTGAGAATCATCCAAATATCTTTTTTTTTTTGAGATGGAGTTTTGTTCTTGTTGCCCAGGCTGGAGTACAGTGGAGTGATCTTGACTCACTGAACCCTCCGCCTCCCAGGTTCAAGCTAATCTCCTGCCTCAGCCTACTGAGTAACTGGGATTACAAGCACCCAGTACCACGCCCAGCTAATTTTTGTATTTTTAGTAGAGATGGGGTTTCACCATGTTGGCCAGGCTGGTCTTTAACTCCTGACCTCAGGTGATCTGCCCGCCTAGGCCTCCCAAAGTACTGAGATTCCAGGCATGAGCCACCGTGCATGGCCTACATCTTTTTAAATTTGTATATCTTCATAAAACCTTCAAGCCACTTATTTTCTTAGTTTTTCTCTGATAATTAGTATATATGTGTTTACATTTTTTATTATTTAACATTCAACTTTACATCAAGTTCTACCTCATATTCCCCTAAGGCACTTAATGGTACACCTTATAAATACCAAAACAAAATTCTTATCAATAAACACATATTGAATAGGTAAATCTAAGGCTAGTATTTTACATCTGAAGTTTAGTATTGAATATTTCTTAATCATAACTATCATAGTAAACTTGTAACCAGTATTTATTTGTAAAAATATTTGTTATATTGTACTCTCTAATAATTATTCAACAAAGGTTATAGAACTGTGAATAAACACTTAGAGACAACAGAATAAATTGATCACTTGAGAATTGACAGAATCTGGAAAGATGAGTTGTTTTTGTGTGTGAATTGAACTGCTCAATATCCACTACAGAAAATGATGATGTTCCATAAGGCTTTTGAATTCACATTTGAATCTCTAGAGTCTTTTTCTCAAGGGAAAACAAAAATAAAATATAGCTATATAACCATCGTGGGTTTTTTTTGTTACTCAAAGATGAATGAGTTCTCATTTCAAGAGGTAAGACTTTAGCTTTTGTTAATGAATCTGATGTATTGATTCTCATTCACCATTTGAGAACACTTTATTCTCTAAAGTTATATCTGTACTCACAAGCCATAGGGCAGAAACAGGGCAGATATAATCAAGTACTCAGCTAGTGAACAACTTTGACTAAATTTCTCTGTTTCCACCATCAGTTTCATGAATAAACAGGAATAATCCAGTTATCAGAATTCCTTGTCCATTTACCCGTAAGACAGAAACCCTTACAGACTTTCAACACTATTCAAACTTTGCACTGTGCCATATGCTAATAAAGTCACTACTTTCAAGATATTTTGGGCACTTACTGATAAAGTAATAAAATTTATAAAGTTATAAAGATTTTAATTAAATATTTCAAAATGTAAAGCTATCATAAATATTTGCAGAAAGACTTACTTTGTTTATAGGTCTGAATGCTGTTAGCTTCAAGGTAACAACATATTAGACAAAGCTTGGCATATAGATGAGGGTCAACATGGCCACTAGTTGGGTGGCCTTCTTCAATTTTTAGGTTATACTTTATCCAGCTATATATTATGTTGAAAATAATATTATTTTATTCTTTGCAACTCCAATTAGAAAACAATGTTACAGTAAAAGCTATTTGATTTGTTCAAATAAATGTATATTATGTACTTAATATTAATCATACTTTTTGTATAGTTATTACATTGATATTTCAATCTACTTGAAGAATAAAACAATATATTCCATTATTAATATTTTAAAAATATTTAATAAATTTATGTGACCTAATTCATAACCCTAATTAGAAATTACTTTCTGATAAGAGTTAAAAACACATTTTTTCCTTTTTAAAAAATTGACTTATTTTACTGATACATATTGTGAAATATGTAACTAACCAAATGTCTCTTACATATTAGCTGTGAGAAGGCATAAAGGATAAAATGTTATCCACTCATTTCCAGGTGTATTGAATGCCATGGTATATTATTTAACTTTATTTATTGTATAGTTACTAAGAAAATGGATAGTCAGACTTCCTAGAGTTCATATTCTAACTCCACCATTTGGCATGTAACCTTGAAAAAGTTACATAACCTCTTTGAAATTCTGTTTATGCATCTATAAAATAATGACGAAATGATTACTCTTTTATGGAAAGTGAATCAGACAAAATTCCTAGCCCTCTGCTTATCATTTAGTAAACATATAATAAATGTTAGCTACTACTTAAGTCTAATAAACAGAAGTCTATGTGTATATATATATTTATATATGTAACAGTCCTTTTTGTTATTCTCAACTGCCCTATATTTTTATTCTTTGGTTTTAAAGACATTTTAAGTACATTTTTGGAAACAATATAAAATAGTAAGAAAAAGACATTATTTGGAAGAAGTTTTCTGGTGTTTGTGCTAAAAATAATTTTAAAAACAGACTCATTATTTGATGTAAAAAATGTACTGATGCTTGAGTGTCTTCATAATGACTTCTAATGAAAATGAAACCAACAAGTTTTTATTTCTTTAATGTGCTGTTCTCATCACAGGTTCATTTGGCAGCAGCTACTTTGTCTCATGGACTCCCTGGAGGATGGGAATCACACTGCTGTGACGGAGTTCATCTTACTGGGCTTAACAGATGATCCGGTTCTCCGAGTCATCCTCTTCATGATCATCCTATGCATCTACCTGGTGACCATATCTGGGAATCTGAGTACAATAATTCTTATCAGAATCTCTTCTCAGCTCCATCATCCTATGTACTTTTTTCTGAGTCACTTGGCTTTTGCTGACATGGTCTATTCATCTTCTGTCACACCCAACATGCTTGTAAACTTCCTGGTGGAGAGAAATACAATCTCTTACCTTGGATGTGCTATCCAGCTTAGTTCAGCATTTTTCTTTGGGACAGTCGAATGCTTCCTTCTTGCTGCCATGGCCTTTGATCGCTTTGTGGCAATCTGCAGCCCACTGCTTTATTCAACCAAAATGTCCACACAAGTCTGTGTCCAGCTACTCATAGTGGCTTATATCGGTGGCTTTCTTAATGCTTCCTCCTCTACCTTTTCCTTCCTTTCTTTATTCTTCTGTGGACCAAATCAAGTCAATCATTTTTTCTGTGATTTTACTCCTTTACTTGAACTCTCCTGTTCTGATACCAATATCCCTGCAGTCATTCCCTCATTTTCTGCTGGCTCCATCATTGTGGTCACTGTGTGTGTCATAGCCGTCTCCTACATCTACATCCTCATCACCATCCTGAAGTTGCGTTCCACTGAGGGGCGCCATAAAGCCTTCTCTACCTGCACCTCCCACCTCACAGCGGTCACTCTCTTCTATGGGACCATTACCTTCATTTACGTGATGCCCAAGTCCAGCTACTCAACTGACCAGAACAAAGTGGTGTCTGTGTTCTACATGGTGGTGATTCCCATGGTGAACCCCCTGATCTACAGCCTCAGGAACAAGGAGATTAAAGGGGCTCTGAGGAGAGAGCTTAAAAATATTTTCTAGCGATGTCTGTTCTTTTTATAATGGTTGACACAGTAATGTTCCATAAATAAAATAACAAAAGAAATTGAATGTCTGAAATATAGCTAGTCATATATTATGACCAGCATGGAGCTTTTGTTAGTAGTGAGTGAATTTTCAGCTACCAACTAGTAAATCAGAGGCACATATTAAATTACCTCTATAAAATTAAGTTAAATTTTAATTTAAAAATCAAGTGTTTTTATATTTAAAAAATATACAATCTATTGAAAATTCTTTTTAAGTTATATTTTTTGAAAGAAGTTATCTGCTGTAATATGACTTGAAGACATATGAACTAAAGAGACAAGTCATCTGCTCCCTACACACCTAACAGATACTGTTGATACAGGGGTAAGAAAACTTTAGTAAACACTTTTATTTATAAATGGGGAATACAGGAGTCACATAGCAATCACTATCCCATAACATTTACAAAATTCAACTGGATACAAATTGCTATTTTCTTGATCATGGCCCAGACATGCTCCCTGTTAATAGGTTCTTTCTCTCTTGGCTCTGCCCTCTGGGCTTTTGGTTCTATCCTCCGAATCATCCTTCCTTTTCCACAAAGTAAAATAAAATATATTATAGCTGAATAGTCTGGATAATTGAAGAGAATTTAATAGAGACTATAAAATTGTGGGCAGAGTTTAGGAAAAACTTCAAAGGTAATGCCATACCTCCGGGATCGTGATCTGCTGAAAACCTGGAGGGCAAAAGGTGCGGGCAGTTACTAGAACCTGGAGAGCTGTAATGAGAGGACTACCTGTCAGGAGCTGTGGCATTTGGTGGAAGGTCACAGACAACCCAGGTGACCCAGAAGCAGAAGAGTCAGAGAAGTACCTAAGCCTCTGTCTCCTCTGCCAGTGTCTCCCAGAAATCAGAGACAAGGGAGTCTGTTGATGCAGTCCACATAGGTCAGTCTCTTGGGATTATATCAAGGTGGAAATGGGTAGAACACTGTGGGCTTCTCCAACCACAGTCGAATGAAAGTAGAAATTAATTCAAGAGGAATTTTGGAAACTATACAAATACATGGAAATTAAGCAATATGCTTCTGAGTAACCAGTGGATCAATGAAGAAATTAAGAAAGAATTTGAGAAATTTCTTGAAACAAATGATAATGGAAACACAACACATCAAAATATATGAGATATAGCAAAAGTACTATTAAGAAGGAAGTTTATGGCTATAAGTGCCTACAGCAAAAAAGAGAAAAAAACTTCAAATAAACAATCTAGCAATGAATCTTAAAGAACTAGAAAAGGAAGAGCAAACCCAATGGTAAATTAGCAGAAGAAAAGAAATAATAATAATTAAAACAGAAATAAATGAAATAGAAATGAAGAAAACACCACAAAAGATCAATGAAATGAAAAGCTTGTTTTCTGTTTTTTTTTTTGTTATTGCATTTTAGGTTTTGGGGTACATGTGAAGAACATGCAAGATAGTTGCATAGGTACACATGTGGCAGTGTGATTTGCTGCCTTCCTCCCCTTCACCTATATCTGGCATTTCTCTCCATGCTATCTCTCCCCAACTCCCCACTCCCCGCTGTTCTTCCCCTATTCCCCCCAACAGACCCCAGTGTGTAGTGCTCCCCTCCCTGTGTCCATGTGTTCTCATTGTCCAACACCCGCCTATGAGTGAGAACATGCGGTATTTCATTTTTGAAAAGTTTGTTTTTTGAAAAGTTAACTGCAGCCTCAACCTCCTGGCTTCCAGTGATCCTCCTGTCTCAGCCTCCTGAGTAGCTGGGACTACAGGCATACATCACCATACTGGGCTGATTTTTAAATTTTTTGTAGAGATGAGGTTTTACCATGTTGTCCAGGCAGGTCTCAAACTCCTGGTCTCGAGCAATTTGCCCACCCTGGCCTCCTAATATTTCTTTTAATAGGTACAATGTCTCACTCTGTCACCCAGGCTGGGGTGCAGTGGTATGGTCATAGCTCACTGCAGCTTTGACCTCCAGGGCTCAAGTGATCTTCCTGCTTCAGCTTCTCAAGTAGCTGGGACCACAGGTGTGCATGACTAACACACACCAAACCATGCCTGACTAACAAAATGTGATACTCCATACAATGGAATATTAGTCAACCTTTAAAAGAATAAAATTCTGATGCATGTTACAAAATGGATGAACCCTAAGAGCATTATGTTAAGTCAAAGAAGCCAGTCACAAAAGACCACATGTTATAAGATCCCATTCATATAAAATGTCCAGAATAGGAAAATCCATAAGCTTGGGAAGATTCATGTTTGCCAGGGGCTGGCAGGAGGTTGGAGTTGAAAGACGGGAAATGACTGCTAATGGATACAGGGCTTTTTGGAGTGACACAAATATTCTTAAATTACATAGTGGCGGTGATTGCACAAGTGTGAATAAACTAAGTACCACTGAATTATATAAAAGGCAAAAAAAAAGAAAGAAAAAAAATGTGGTACATATACACAATGGAGTACTATTCAGCCACAGAAAAGAATGAGATGCTGTCATTTGCAACAACATGAATAGAACTGGAGATCACTGTTAAGTGAAATTATCCAGGCACAGAAAGAGGAAACATTGCAAGTTCTCACTTGCTTGTGGGAGTTAAAAATCGAAACGATTGAACTCATGGAGATAGAGAATAGAAGGATGATTACCAGAGGCTGGGAGGAGTAGTGGAGGGCTGGTGGGGGAGGTGGGGATGGTTAATGGGTACAAAGAAAGGATGAATAAGACATATTATTTAATGGCACAAAAGGGTGACTATAGTCAATGATAACTTAATTGTACATTTTAAAATAATGAGTGCAATTGGATTGTTTGTAACACAAAAGATATATGCTTGAGGGAATGGATACCCAATTCTCCATATAATTATTTCTCATGTAGTCTGTAAATATATGCACTTACTATTTACCCCACAAAATTAAAAAATTAAAAATAAACTATTCTCCAATGTACTCAAGGAGATACATACAAGGTTGTTTATAATGGCGTTGAAAGCTCATCAGAAGACCTCTCTTGATTTTTACTCTCTTTGGTCCAACTCTATCATATCTACTTCTGTCCCTTTGTTTTTATTCTTAGTAAATGAGATCTCTATTCACTCAATCAGGCCATAAAATGTGGAATCATCCTTAATACCTTTTATTCACACTTGCTCCTTTTCCTGGGTTAAAGGATCACATCCTATTTAAAATAATTTAAGTGGAGGGTTAGAGGGTTACTAGGTATATAATGGGAGTAGACAACTGGAAAAGTGGCTATATTTGTGTAATAAATATCTTGCATATTTTGCAGATGTTTCCAATATTCATACTTTACACACACACACACACACACACACACACACACACACACATTTCAATCCTAAAGGACTGCTTGAAATCGTAAGAAACCAAGTATTATTTTTTTAGGGACTGAGTATTAATTACATGAACCGAAGAGTTGGGGACACTGAAATTTTAGTGACTAACATAGAGTGAATTAGGAAATTGAATTTAACTAACGAATCAGCATCATAAAAAATGTTCCCTTGGCTATGAATGAAATACATGATACAAGGACAGGGGAAGCTATCTTAGACATATCAACTCTCACAGTTACTTTAATTTGAGGATAAAGTTATTTCTCAGAATAATTTATTTTTTCTTCAAGATAGTCAATTTGTAAGGAGTTGAACATACAATAATCAAAACCATATTCTTAGTCAACCACCCTATTACGTTTTACCCTTTATAGGTATACATTACTGATGTCACATGTGAATTATCTCAGTGGACTGTCATATGATAGGTTTTACTAGAATTGAGTATGAATTCTCAAGTTCTGACATCTGAACTAGGCATAGGACGTGAATAAGAATATTTTTGTTTAGACATAGACCCAAACCAGAAACGAAGTTTCTATTTCAAAAAACATAGATGTATGAAAGATAGAAATGAAATTAGAGTAGGACATAAGTGCTTGTATAGCATGCGAAGAAAAGTGGTATGTGAAAATATGACCTTCTGTCAGTTTCCAGCTCTGCCCCTTGTGGTGTATGGCACCTTAAGCAAGTTACATACAATCTTGGATCTTTAGTTCCATTACTTTGCAAAGAGAATATTACTATACACTTCACAATCGTCTTGCTTTAAATTATGTCATGTATATAAAAACACAAAGCTCTATTTAGCAACAACCAGTTGCTTAATAATTGAAAGTTTCCTTGATGTAACTGACTTAAATCCCAGTTACTTAACTACTGAAAATTTCCGTGATGAAATTGACAAATATTTCTGTATTTGTGACCCTGGACAAATATGTCCATTGATGCATACTTCACCAATAGGTAGGGAATCTAGGAAATTTTCACTGTGCAATAAAACTATGTTTATGCCAAGTTTGATACACTTGGGATATATCACCTTAAGTATATTATCTGTTTGGGGAAATTACACTGACATTTCATAGGGATTGAAAATTGCATGTACACATAATTATGTAAAAGTACGTGTCTGAAGTATTCTTTAAATTCTCAGGGGTTCCATTTATCCTTTCATTTTATGATTCCAAAAAGGAATCACTACTTTTGGCTGTCATTTTAGTTCCTAAAAAATTGTTTTAAATCTATATGTATCTTGTTGAGAAGCTCACTGTGACTAATAAATGGTCCATGAGAAAGGCTTTAATGAGTAAAAATTACCCAAATTCCATCAGAGAATAAATTGTTTCTAACACATCCCACATTAACATTTTATTCATATTACTTGAACAGGACCTGTAATATTTTTAAATTTTTCCTTAAATTACTTGTTTTTAAGGAAGTTTTATCTTTAAGATTTGACAGAAGAAATAGTATGTCTGAAGTTTGCTCAAAGCAGGCAAATGCTGAGTAAAGGAATGTGTGGAGGTGTAGATTTTATATATAACTGTATGTATGTTTAAATGACAAAAATAAAATCATTTAAACAGATCTGAAAATGTAAGAGTTATGCAAGAATATTCTTTTCATAACTTATCTTACTACTATGAACATTTGAAAGTGCCTGAATGTCCATTGAATTTAATATGTTAACTTCAAAGTATGCAATGCTATGGAACTATTAAAAGAATGAAGTTGATTTACATGTATTCCACAAAATATTAAGAAAAAAATCAAGTTACAGAAAATATAAATGGTGTGTGTAATAACTATTTTTGTTAAGGAACAACATAGCTGCTTTTAACAGCAAAATATGTATTTCTGTTTTAAACGATAGCAAGATATCCGTATTGCTATTTCAAAATTTTTATTTTAACTTGCATAATCATTAACTAGTTCCCTTTAATGCCTGCCTGTCTTGTCTTATGAAACTTGTTTTTATGAACATAGTGATCTCTCTTATCTCTTTAAAAACTTTAATTATAATTTATATTGTGAGTAAATTTTTTCTTGAGTATAAGTTCTATTTTGTTTCCCTCTTATGAATTGCTGTTTTTAAAGTGTTGTGTGACTATCAATTTTGAGCTCATCTTTGCTGTTATTTTCTGCTCTATTGCCAACAACCTCTTTGTAGGGGGAAATGTAGATGCATCAATTTTCTTATAGATTTTAGCTAAAGTAGGAGAAGGGCAAAACATTCAGTCAGGAAGTGTGCTACTGTCTAGTCTTCTGTGTTTGATTCCTTTCCTCCAGAGTACTGATGAGGCTTGGATAACATAATCCTGTCATAGATGCTTGTTCATTAGGAGGAGATGTGATGTTAAGAGCTTGGTAAGCACTTTGGAGGACAAACGGGGAGGATTGATTGAAGCCAGCAGTTCAAGATCAGCCTGGGCAACATAGCAAGACTACACTTCTATGATAAAAATAATAACAATAAATAAAAACAGAGCTTGGTAAAGCAGTCTAGCTGCTTCCAATGAAGCACCAGAGCTAAACCATTTGTTGGTTGCCCTGATGTCCTTTCAGCTTCTGAAACACTTGTTAGTGAACATTGCTGGTGCTGGGCCCACTGGTTTTTGACATTATTCTTTTATTGGCACACATATACATTCTGTATATATTTTTATTTCTTCTGATTGTACATCTCTGAGTTTTTAAGATACCTCTCCTTGATTTGGGAAAACAACACACTTATTTACCATTTAAAACATGTATCTATTTTTTAAATATATACACATAGTATATGTATATATGTGTGTTTCTGTAATTGTTTGCTGTAAGCTTGTGTATATTGATACACAAAATAATAAGATTATATAATGTTCCAACACAATATATAATTTCTTAGGTTTTTTGTAGTGTTGAAGGTTATTGCATGTGGTCTGCCTTTTTAAACCTGAAGTCTTTCATAAATTGATGTATATTACAAAATATTGACATAATTATAAGGAAAAAGCATTGAAAGAAATAAATTTATAATACTATTTTCCTTCCACAAGAGTTGATTTACAATTGGTTAGAAATGCAGAGACAACATATTCCTACTTTATAAATCTCTGTGTAGAATAAACATGCACATCCAAAATTTTCTCAATGTATCCTCAGATTTTTCATTTATTTTTAAATAAAGTTTGTTAATTTACATTATAGAAGAACATAAAACATTTCTGATAGTTTTAAAAATGTACTGCTGTAAAGTTGTGCATAAGATTAAATAAAAATTAACCTACTTCTATGTCATGTCAGTCATTTGCATAGTTTGTTTTCTCTCATCCTTTTTAATCACGTTGACCAAAGCTTTTTCTATTTGTCTAATAGAGTAGCTTTTATCAGAATGATACGCCTGCCAAGAATACATATGTGCTTGCTAAAATTAAAGACAAAAACTGTTTTAAGGCATTAGAAAGCAACCAAAGCAACAAGATTTTAGAGGAGCGAAGATCTTAGAAAAAGAGAAAAACAGATTGAGGTGAACTTGAGATTCTCTGTCACATTTCCTCACAGCCTGAGACTGAGAGACAAAGCAGAAAGTAGTAATTCTGAGTTGATAGCCTCATGGGACAAAGTGGATAAAATTTGTCTAATAATACTATGGCTAGAAGAAGAGGAGTAACTAATACTCTAGAGAAATGAATATCAGAGAGATGTAAGGCTTTTTGTTCTGAAGGCACTTGTCAATTCTGAAGCTACACAAAGGGAAAGGTTAAGAAAATTTTAAAAAGCATCTATGAAGCTAAATAGATAATTAGAGATTTAAGCAATCTTATGAAGCTAAGAACACAAAAGTAAAATTTCAGAGCCTGTCAAAAAGATGCCCTTGTAAAAACATCAAGTATTCCATTGGGATTCCTTAAAGAATCTCAGTTCAGCAGAGAAGCCAAATCTATTTAAAAAAATGAAATAAGCAATAACCGAAATTGAGAACTCAACAGATGAATTGAACAGCAGATGACATACAATAAAGGGAGGATTAGTGAACTGTAACAAAGGTCAGTACAAAATATATAATCAGAAACATGAAGAGAAAATAGAATGTGAGAAAAAGAGCATAAGATATGTGTATAAAACACTAATATACATGGAATCAGAGTTTCAAAAGGAAAGGATAGGAGATAATGGAAAAAAATACATAAATTTAGAATTTTAAAATAAAGAAATTTGGGGACATTAAAATAAATCCACTCATAGATTCACAAAACACCATTAAAACCAATCAGGATGAACACAAAGAAAATCATATTTACATTTTAGTCAAACAATTAAAAATGAAAGACAAAGAATATTTTAATCTTAAAAGCAATCAAAGGAGAAAAAACACATCACTTTCAGAAGAGTAATAATAAAACTGATAGATGAATTCCGAATAGAGTCCATAGAAACCAGAAAACAATATAATTACATCTTATTTCTATTCTTCCAGTAGTCATAACTCTTAAGGTTCTAACACACTGTTTACATTTTCTACTAGTGTCTATAATTAATTTGTTTCTAAATCCTGACTTTAAATTAGATAAGAATTTTAGCACATCTTTACCTACCTTTCATTCTGCT